CAACTATTAATCAACTATCTCTCTGATATAAATCTTGTATTCAGCCCGTAATCGGTAGTTACTTTCTGCAAAAAATTAACGATACTAAATATAAGTATCATTCAACATTTCTCAGAGTTCCCTATAATTTCCCGGCTACTCTTACATGGACAGTGCGTTTATTCAGAAGCAGTGTATGAAAATAATCTATGACCCACAGGCTTCAGTTTGACAATGTCTATATGAGAAACGTTCATGATCAGGGAAAGCAATCGCTACCTAGAATTCTAGGAACTCCGTGTACCTTAACTCTAGCAATGAAAGAACAATCTCAGAAGGAATAAATTTCAACGATAAAAGAAAATTTAAGGTCAGCCAAGGAACAAATTTCAACGATAAGAGAAAATTTACGGTCAGCCAAAAAGGAAAAGGCAGTGAAAAGAAATTTCAAAATAAACGACGATAATTTTTACGCGTAAACCGATCGCTAGCGTTGATATAATTGAATTAATTATTAATTAGATATAATTAAATATTTAAAAAAAGGATTGCTAGAAATAAAAAAGGGAAAAGATGTATGAGTACAGCGAGAAGTTTCAAAGATGTCAGCATAATAACAGAACGAGTATCATGAAGACAACAGAGATAACAGGATACGAGACCAAGGTACGAGGAAAAATGTCTGCAGAAGTGCAAATGTAAAATGAATGAGGACACAAATGCTGAGATTCTTAGAATATTTCGGGATTCTGATGGACATGATTTGGTCATGTCAAAGTCTACGAATCGGCAGATTTTGCGCGAGATGAGGACAAGTTGTCGAGAATGAGACATGTCTACATGTTGCATGTATAACACATACGTACCGAAGTAATTTGATGGATTGCTCTTGTGCTTTGCACTTGATCATGACAAACGAATAACGTGTCATATTGTGCTAAGTGCAACGTGTAAATACTTCTATACAGAATAAAAGTCGACGATGTTTCGTCATAGAAATTATTTAAAAATCACTCGCTGGAACCTTTCCGCTAGTTTCACGAAGTTAATGTTAGGTATTCACGCGATCAGGTATTTTATTCGATTAAATTATGAATGACACTTTTATCAGCAAGGAAGCATGAACATCCTATAATTAATATTGTACATACGGGTCACGTATGTCTATCCATTCTGACGCGTCTTAAAACAGGTTTGTCTATTCTGACTTCCTAAGACGGGTCACGTAGATTAGTTTTTCATTTCTTTTTCTTGTTACCGCCACTGGTTGTAGTACTGTCTGTTGAGCCTTCTATGGGAATGTAACGAAATAGGTATGGTTCTGAGAGGATGCGAATGGTGTTTAGGGTTGACGAGCGCGTGAAGCGTTTCTAAGGCATGAAAGAGGGGTGCTAAAACAAAACGAGAAAATGTTTAAACTAATGCGTGAAAGAGAAGCAATCGAGATGGTGTGTGAAAAATATAGAAAAGAAAACTTTATTGAAAACTCTGTAGCTCAACGGAAAAGGAAGCGAAACAGAATATAACGGGTGTCCAAATTTCTCGCAATAAGTAGTTTTGACAGAAAACACAGACTTTTAATTCAAAACCGTAAATATTGCTCAACAATAAAACGCGTTGTTCTTTCATATAGCGCTCCATTTTTGATGCTGACAGTCAATCATTTTTGACCCTGAACTGTCAGCTATCACGCTGCCTTTCTTTTTCATTGGCAACACTTTACCACGCAAATGGTGCAAAATTCAAATCTTTCGTGAATTTTGAGACATCCTATACGTGTTGTAGCGACCATCATTCTCGCCCTTGCCATTAGATGGATTTCGCCTTCGAGGACTTCTCTGCAAGTCCCCCAGTCCCTATATATTCCCGTCTTTCCAATAGTATCCCCAGTGCCTAAGGCAAGGGCCTGCTAAGCAAGCCTTACCGATGAGTCCGCTAGCAGGCCCGGGACGAAACGCCATCCCTTCCTTTTCCTACCCTCCCTTCTAGCAACACCAACCAAGGATACCTGCGACGAACTGACTTCAAACGATGGTTGGGGAGGACTCCCTCTATATTGGTGACCCCGAACGAAAGAACAGCAACAACTCAGCCTTCTGAGCAACAAGGACGAAGCGAGCAAAACACACACCGACCACGACGGAGTTCGCAACCTTGCTACTAGGATGATAACGTAATAATGGAAGCCGATGAAAGACGAAACGAATCCAGACTCGAAGTCCAACGCGCTCGCCGATTAATGCCAAACCTTACCGTTCATCGAAAGAACGCCGCAACCATCCTAGGAGGGCAGAAGAACTACTCCACAACGGTTCCAAGCTTTAAGAACGCGCTCGCCAAGAATGAAGGCCGCTCCAATCTCGTCATCATCTCAATATATCGTTAATCACTGGCAGGGGGGTGATCTAGCGACCATCATTCTCACCCTCGCCACCAGATGGATTTCACCTTCGAGGACTTTCCCGCAAGTCCTCGGAAAACTCCCAGTTCCTATATATATAACTTCCCGTCTTTCCAATAGTATTATCCCCAGTGTCTAAGGCAAGGGCCTGCTAAGCAAGCCTTACCGATGAGTCCCCTAGCAGGCCCGAGACGAAACGCCATCCCTTCCTTTTCTTACCTTTCCTTCTAGCAACATCAACCAAGGATACCTGCGACGAACTGACTTCAAACGATGGTTGGGCAGGACTCCCTCTACATTGGTGACCCCGAACGAAAGAACAGCAACAACAACGCAGCCTTCTGAGCAACAAGGACGAAGCGAGCAAAACACACACCGACCACGACGGAGTTCGTAACCTTGCTACTAGGATGACAACGTAATAATGGAAGCCGACGGAAGACGGAACGAATCTAGGCTCGAAGTCCAACGCGCTCGCCGATTAATGTCAAACCCTCCCGTTCGCCGAAACTTATATAAAGTGCTATGGTTTTTTGCTAATCTTCATACCAATAGCTGCTTGAACTTTTATTAACGCTAGGCGGAAAATGTGAGATAGAGTCTGTCTTTTGCTTATTCGTTGTTAAATCAATTTTTTATTTCTATATTTTCTCACTTTATCCATCTTGCTTCGATAATTTTTTAAAACGTGAAATATTCATGCTCATGCAATTGGCACTACACAAAAAAAAGGTTTAAAAATACGTTATGTAGATATAACTGAGTAGTAACGTTATCCAGCTTTTAGAGTCCCAACATGTAACATGATTCTATAGAAAGAGGTCCTCGAAACATTTTCCGAGGGTCACTATGGTTCCTTTTATAGGAAATTTCACCATGGGAATTTGTAACGTTCGTTTCTCGACATGTTGCAATATTGGAAAATTCTACAGTTGGCTGCAACTCGGTAATTCCCTCCGAATAAAATACAATCGTCAAGAAATAGATGCGAATACGATAATAATTAGTTACTGCGATGAGTCTGACTCGTAATGAATTCTTGTCGAATGTTAGAATACAACTGAAATTGTAGTACAACTGAAATTGTATCAAAGTGTTTTAATATTTACGCAACATTCGAAGAAATTTCTATTATTTCTATGATATAATTCATCATTTTTCAGAATTAAATCACAGTGCAGGGAATTAATCGACTGAAATGAGGAAATGCGGGACATTTCCCTTTCCTGCGATTTACGTGATAAGTAATTATTTGGAAAATTTCTAAACAAAGTTTAGAACGAATTCAACGTTTAATGAAAATGTGACAAAATTAGCGAAATAAATTACCGGGATTAATTAATCGTATAAGCAATTATGTCTGTTCCCAAGTCGATGTAAAGTATCGTATTCCAACGAAGAACCTCGGAGACAATACTAATTGCGATGAATTATTTATAATAAACACACAAATTCCTTTAACAAATATTTTCACTCACGATCAACTTTCTTCGCAATGACCAGGGTAAAAGGGATCAAGGTATCGAGCGCAATGGCAGACATTACAAAATCATTTCAACATACGATTTGTCCTATAAATATTCATTGCACAATTTTGTAAGAAGGTGAACTTCGTCTGAATACGAAGTGTCTTCAGTTTCTTTTCATCTCTATTGATTATAAGTCGCATTGCATTGATTAATCATGCAAATTTTGTCTATATAAATTCGAAAAAAAGTCAAATATCATCATGAATCGTTCCCTCCTAAATCAGTGGAGAAATCGCATATCTTATTATTTCTATTCAAAACTAAATAATCTTATACGATATGAAACCTTTATACTATACGCTTTGAACTTTGTTACTATATTTTGTTCGTAAAATATGCCTCTACAGTGTCATGAAATTTTAAGGCGCGTAATTGAATCATAAGTTAGGGTCAGCCATTATGCTCTTTATTCGGCATATTATAATTATATCAGATTCTGTCAGAAACAAAGCAATAATTAAACAGCTTTCGAACCTTGTAACGAAGTGCAGTTTGGAAGAAAAATATTTCAACTGAATTTAAAAACGCTTTATAATACTACTTAATATTACTTAAAAACAGCCTCGGTCGTTTCCTCGTTCTTAACTATGACTAGGACCTATCTATTGGAACTATCTTTTCAAAGTTTATTTCTCTACAAGGTCTTGGAATCTCTACCTGAACTGGGACATCCTGTACATTACAGTTTATCACTTGGTCCAAGAAAAGGACTAGTTTTGAACCCTGACGGAATATCAGACTATAATTCCTATCGATCACAACTGATATCCGCAAGTCTCGGCACTAACAATTGGTACATAACAACCCTATGCATTCGTTATACCCAATCTGTAAGGGCTGCCAACACAGTGATTGAACTTCTCAATCTGACAAAAAATCGACCCTGGAACATCGAACTTGAGTTCGGCTTAGATTCTCAGAATTTACTGTAAGGATCGCAGGGAAATGTCTGAAATCTCAAAATTCTATGAAGAGTCATACTCAGACAATAGTGTACGTGCATGTGAGGTGTGTGTGTGTGTGTATGCGTAAATGCGTCAGTAGAAGGTAGATAGTGGGAGAAGTTATCCCGACCTCTCACGCAGTCAGATACAAGGTACTCTGATTGGTCCCAGGTAGACTCGGTTCACCTTTCATTAGTTGGCTCGTCTTTAAAGTAGCTGGCCCACATATCAACCCTCGTAGTAATCCTCAACACGCTTCAGCGTCCGTGTCGACCGCTAAGACCATACGGGTATATACAGATACGAGCACAATTGCCTAAGTCATCGTTTCAGCTCTCGTTCTTCGAATTTTTGAACTCGCGCTCGTTGGATTTTCCTTTATTTTCTAGTTCGGTGAGTTCTCATATTTTCTTTTTCTCTCTTTGTTACTACGGATACTGCGCACATTTTTTACGTGGGAAAGTAAATTTTGCGTTTATGGTGTGACTTGTGATTATGTGATTCTCTATGGTTTGGCAGCTTTTAAGATTTTTGGTGTACTTTTTTTTTTTTTACTCTTTCTCTTTGTGGCGTTGGGTATATTTTTGTTTACATATAGTGACTGGCACCCGTGACACACATTGCATTTGAGCTTTCGATTTTTGCTCTATCGCGAAATACTATTGTATTTGCAAAAATACAAACGCGTACGACCACTTTTGTGATCAGTGGCTACTTTGGGATAATCAGTTGATTAGAACGTGCTTTCGGTTTCGGTTTTTAGTTCTCAATGTACGCGTTTATATGTTCACATGTGACACTTCCCGCAAGATTAACGCAAATAGGATTGGTATAAATGAGGGAAGAAAAATTTAGGCAGCGAGTGAAAAAGGACTTGAATGATTTCCATTGTTTTGTTATTGTTTCATTTATTTTGATTATTTAAAATCGATTTTTACATTCTTTTTTGTTTTGGTTTGTTCCTATTCGCTGAATAGATCCAACACGGAACCGGTCAATGGTTGGCACAATATGGGTAAGCGAAAGATTCAAGTAAATTCTATTTATTCACCACCAAAGCAGATTCTTCTGTTTAACTACTCACACATGATAGTTGAAAATATTATCACGTTCCCTCGCTAAACAGCTTTTCGAATACTTAATGTGATTAACGTACCTTTGTTACTTGCGACTCGGTTCGCGGAGAGTTCTCATAATCGTAGGAGACATAGAACACTCGGTTTCGATACTCTATGTACACTGTCGCAACTGCATACGTCGTTAAAGTAAAATAACGGATGCCTAAGATTTCTCAATTTCGAATTTCAAATGGCGAAATTTCTAACTCAACGGTTATTTCCCTTCTTTCCCTGTTATTAAAATTAAATGACTTGATTCCATCATATCGCGAGACACATTGAATTCGAGGCAAACAAATTCCCCCAAAAATCTACGAGTTCTCGGAACGCCTTTAGAACGCTTAACCCTTTGCACTCGGCGATATTTTCGTTACAGAAAAATAGTAATTCGAAGACTTTCTTTCGTTTCATAAAGTCGACGATATTTTTAAAGTGGCAAATAAGAAATCGTATGGAAATTGAGACGTAGAATTATTTTACTTCGACATTCCACGCATCGTTGGGTAATTTTAAATCTGATATATTAATTAACACCGATTTTTAGAATCTGATTAAATTTCGAAACTTAACGAATTCTACAAAATTTCGAAATGCCTTTAAAAATTCTATGGTATTCCGGAAAATTAACCATAATCCAATCTAACACGGCAAAATTTCAAGTCTCGTGTATGGAATTTTCGCGAATAAAGCTCGAAGGGGGGTTGGGGAGTTAGAAAAACGTGGAGTTTTGGAATCTCGTGGCTTATTCGCCAGTTCGAATTTCGTACCATATACCCAGGTCGGATCTCATGTTCGTTGGCCCCCGCGTGCTTGAAACGGCAATAGTCTGGTTGGTGTAACGTGACGGGATACGGTGGATCGTGCTTAAAGCGGAACTGGCTCAGCACACTTAGCGGAATAAGAAGAATCCGCACGAATTAAACCCTTAATCGGAGGTTCGAATCGTTTAATCGCTGGTTAAAGAGGAAATTTCATTGCGCCGCAAGGAAGCTGCGTCGTCTGATCGCCGGCCTCTCTCTTTTACTCCCTCTTTCTTTCCGGCGAGGGTCATTGGCCACGACATTGATATCGTTCTCGTTTCGAACTATAGCCGTCGCGGAAGAAGCGCGAAATGTATCACGGTCAAATTAATTATACACCCCTAATCTAATCGAACCGACTCGATGAGTTAATTGACTGTTTAATTTCTGACGTGATGTATATTCTCTGAACCAAAGGTTTTCCATTATGATCGATACGGTACACGTGGATACGTGTGCGTACGCGCGTATAGGTTAAGGCACTGCTAAAAATGGTGGCTTCGTTTTTCCTCCTATTTTTTTCTCTTCCTCTAACTTTTCCTTTCCACTTCCTACGTTATGTAAGTTACTAAAATTAGAATGGAGTTACAGCGAAAAGAGGGTGATTCGTAGTCAGTTCTAGTAACTTTTAGGGAATATCTGGTTCTTCTCTTTTAGAGACATTTTGGATAGTTTTGTAGGTTAGATTACGTGTGGTTTTTTGATACGTCGTTGGAGACTGATGTTTCGAACTTTTCTCGACGAAAGTGTAATACTAGAAGATCTTTGCGAGTATCTGAGAAACTTCATAATACGGAGATGATACGTTTTGACAAAAGTTGTTTAGAATATTGATCTTTATAATAGATGGAAACATTGTCGTATAAGTTGCATATGTCGCTATTGATTTAAATTAATAGCGAAGCAAATTGTATTAATTATTATTATGCATGATTCGTTGTTTCTACCTTTTTAAGAATGATGATTTATCATGTACTCGTTCGTTGAATCATTCTGGTCGAGTATCAGTAAAATTTATTATTGTTCTTCGATTGTCGAGTCATCACCTTCGATCATTATATGCGGGAAAGCTCGTGCGATCGCTCAATGAATCGCTGATTTACATTGAAAATATTGCTCGCGTGTACATATTATGCATATCCATTAATTAAATGTATTTTTTCTAATCACTTCTTTCTACTCGTTCGTGCAATTACTCGTTTTTTTATCTATTTCCGATCAATAACCGTGGGGGAAGAGGAGAATGGAGCCGTATCCATACATTCTGCATATTTTTCTTGGTCTATAATCTATCGTTTAATTTAAAAAAATTAAAAATATACAATTTGAAAGGAGAGTAAAGAAAAATGGGAGAGAAAAGCGATCGTCGTACTGCTAATAATATTTCGATTAAATTTTTGCAATTCATCTGTAATTTTTTTGTGAAAATTTTCAAATTTAACACTTTATCAGCCGCTCACTTCTCGCCACCGGTGAATTTCGCGCGGGTTCTACTAGTTGCTGATGGTCGTAGTTACGCTATCCTTATTTAAAAAGGCACTAATATTTGAGACTAACAGAACAAGCATCTGCTTAAAGAATATCGAGAAAAGACGATCGAGAGAGTTAAAACAGAAGCATAGTGGAAGCATTGTACCGCGCTGAACCGAAGTCACGTCTGCGTGACAGCAGCCGGCAAAGTGTTAAGAAGCCAGAAATTCGGCTGTAAACGATTTCAGCGTGAAATATTTCCTTTGGCCCATTATTTATCGTATCATAAGTAATTTAAAAGGGCAAAAAATCGAAATTTCCAAATTTTTCCAATTACAAATTCGATCGGAGAACATTTCAAAATTTCTTCTCTCCATCGTTAGAAGATTGCACGTTGCGTGCACGTTTCAGCGGAATCTTCGACGATTCGGCATTTCCAAAGATAATGTGCCTATGTAAAGTGCATAATTTGAACAAGTAAAACCTATTAACATGGAGTGTAAATTGACGATATAACGAAGAGGATCTTCATAGTAAGACGGTTTAACGGAAGTGCAATGGTAAACAAGTGGATGAAGGTGAGGAGGATGAAAAGTCACGAATGTATTGATCAAGCAAGATAAAGGAATAGAGGAAAAGCGTTCGCGAACCTGGAATAAATGAGTGGACAGAACATAAAAATCTACGTCAATATTAACACGACGGGAAAATGAAAAAATCCTATGAATTTGTCCAAGCTGTTCCCTTTGGTACTGTTTTCGCGTTACGACATTAACTGTTTGCTGAACGTTATATGCTTCTTAGAAGATCTCTTACGTGGAAGTCCATCAATTCTTCGCCGATGTTTTCATCTTTCCTTTAAGTTTGATCGTGTGACTAGAATCAAATTTTCTTCTCGATCTTGAAAAATTCCTGCGGTTAGGTAGGTTAAATTTTAGATTAAAATTTAAGTTAAATTAAATTTTAAATAAAACTTTAACTTAAATTAATATTTAAGTTAAATTTTAGCCACAGAGTTGTCCTATTTTTAAAACACGAATAGTCGATAGCAAAGTTGATAGAGAAATTTCTTTTTCCTTGTAGATAAGAAATTCAAATTTTCTGTTTCTCTCTTTCTCGCTGTTTATCTATTGTAATTCCTCTAATTTAAATGCCTAACTTTATCTTTTTCCTCGTGAAAAAGTAGTTGTAATTCCTAAAATATTTTCTTCGGTTTTTCTCACTTAATTAACGATTATTTGAAATGCGTGGTATTAAATTGCGCTTAATATTCATGGTCGACAATGTTTTCGAGTTGATTTGCATTAATTGGGTAGTTAATATCGTGTTAACACTTTGCGGACGAGCGTCACATATATGCGTTTTGTAAAAGCTATCAGTTTGTCGAAGGACGCATATGCGCGTTCGATGAAAACAACCGATAGAGCCGAGGGACGCATAAATGTGTCCCACGTAAACGCGTTGCTATAGCTGAGAAACACAAATATGCACCCGCTGTTGCGGCCTTAGGACCCTCGGCGTTCCATGTTAAGCGATGGACTGTTTTATGCCCTTGTCAGCGTCGCTATGAACGAAAATCGCGTTTAAGCAGAAATGAGCGCTGGTAGTTTTGAATGACTATCGTGGCAGCAACTACGCTCCACGGTACGGTTTACTCAAAACCGCTCCAAAGGGTTAATAATCGATTAATAATGTAGGATTTTTTGCTAAATTAACTCTTAATTAACTCTAAATTAAGACAGAGATCTGCGAGTCTGATAAACAATAACTCCCTTTTAATAACAAAACAGGTTTATTTAATTAAAATATTACACTAAGTTCCTCTCAATTCTAACTCTCAAGCACACGATCCTCTGTTCACTATGTCTCGACTACCCACATTCTGCCTTTTGTCTTCTCTGCCTTCCCGCGCCCTCGCATCCTTACTTTTTACTTTTTACTTTTTACTATTTACTGCTGAAAAAAGTATCGTCAGTTTTTTAATAGAGAATCTTTGATTTTCTACTCTTCTCTAACCAAAAAATCGTCGAGTGCAAAGAGTTAATACTATTTCCTTTGTTAGTGTACTTCACTGCTCGCTATCCTACAGTAAGTACCGTTGTGCTCGGGCAAATTTGAATAAAATCTGCTCGGTTAATTTCAACGGTTCTACTCTTTTTCTATCCTTCTTCTTCGGCATCTCGAGCGTTAGCGAAATCTGATGCAGTTGCTAAGAGAGAATCGATAAAAAGAAAAGGAAAAGAGACAAATGCAGTGGAAAGAAATGTCGTCACTGCAGAAAGTGAACATGCAGTAAGGAAAATTTTACTTTCCTTAATTTTCGTCTTACATTCACAAAAATGGTACCAATAGATTGCTTAAGGTATACCGAACAATGAAAACGTTGTTTCGTAATTTTTCTATCGAGAATCGAGAATTTTGCATATTTATTCAGGAAGGTAATTTAAACGATCGTTAATTGGTTCCCTTTTCATCGCAGGATATACCGTAGATAAAAGAAATCGTTTCCGTTGTTATTGTATTAATTGGTTCAATTTCCATAGGACAGTAAAATTTGTCGGAAATTAAACGAAACTTTCCTTAATCTTGGTTAAAGTTCGCGACCTGTGCATACGGTGGTCATTTTG